AGCGGCAGAATACCGGCGAAACACGTGTCTGGGCCTTTTAGCTAGTACCTAGACTGTTAGTATGGTAATTTACAACACCAATGTCAGGGTATGCTTATTTGCTTGGCAAAAATGGTATTGATCAAATAAAGTTCGGCCTGTATACCCAATCAAAACGCTCATAATATGATTGTTACGTAATATGAAAATGTTCAAAAATTCCGACCAAAGGATTTAAAAGCGCAGTTTGCAAGCCTACACGTGCCCTCGATAAATTCTCATTGGGCCAGTACATTTATGTGGGAATGGGGTACATGCGGTGTACAATGTTCGCCTTTTCATGCAAGTGAGTCGTGAAACTCGGTAGGCGGGGGTGGCAAGAGGTCGATAAGTACGGTTTTTATGTGGCAGGGGAGGTTTGGAGTAGCCGGTTCAGGTTGGAGGGGACAGAACAAGAGAGTGCGCGAAAGAGTGGATGCCATTAAGCGACCGTTAGCCATGCCAGGCGCGGAGCTTGCAGTAGGACCTTTTGTGCACACAAGATGTGCTTCCTTAATCTGGTAGCGATCGCTTCGGTTATTGCTAGCAGATGCTGAAACAGGAACTTGAGGTAGTTTGGGAGGACCTTATAAATTACCCGGAAGGCTTCTTTGGGTTCCACACAATGTTCGGAATCAATAATGTGCGCGAAAATAGCGCTGTTTATGCACCTAACTTCACCTTTTCTCAGCCATGCCGGAAAGTTTCCCTTATTCTTTAACTGGTCCTGTTGAGCAAGTTATATAAATCGCAAGAGTTAGCCCCTATCTAGAAGAGTATATTAAAAACTGTTCAAAAACAGAGCTCGCACAAAAAACTCACTACTTGATTATACTTATAGGTACGATTTATGTGTATAGTATTTCTTTTCTTTCGCATAAGTCGATTTTTTTCAATGTAATTATGCCGTTAAACATATATTCCAGCGTTCCACAGGCAATGCACAAAATGTTTTCAATCCGACAACTGCTCCAGCAACTCAGCATCGATCTGGCCAGTACTCGGCTCCAACATGCGAATACCTTTGTCCAACAAGATCAGGATTTAGTGAAGTGGGTGTTTGCTGTACTGCTGAAACTCTGCAAGGTTGATGAATATGCTAGCACAAGGTTAGTTGGAGATATTGAGGGGCGTCCAGAGAATCTTGATGATAAAACCTCGCCGCGAGTTAGGTCTGGTTCTTCTCCCGACAATAGTTCCACTGAAGGTCTGACAAGTCCGTCCGCACCATACTTCAGCGAAGACCAAAATACTGATCCTCTACCGAGGCTACAATCACAGGCGGACGTTGAAAATTGCAAAAATCAATTGATTGAACGCATCTCTCAGTCGGATTCAGTGATCACAAAGTAAGCATATGATCCATGTTTCTACTCAAATGAACAGACTTTGGCAGACTTCCTCATTTTTTTTCCAGTTTTAGTGAGGTTTCAGTGACTTGAATGCATAAAGGCTTATCTCGTCTTCTATTTGCCAAGACTCCCCAATTATACGCACTCGGAAAGTATCGGTAGTGGCAACGGCGTTGTCGAGCCCTGAGACAAATTCCTAGTTGGACCCACTGAGCATCGTTTTGCCTAGTTTTGCCAAAGTTACCGCAGAAGCCCCTGAAGTAACTTCTGGCTAATTAACCCTCAATTATGCAATAACCATTTGTTGATCACCAGCGCAAATCGAATCTTTAGAATCGATAAAGCATTGAAGTTTAAAAAAATAATCAGCTTCCTCGAGCTTTGCCTCACCTGGATAAAAAAATCAATATTCAAGTGCGGAAAACTCCAGGTGGTAAAAATAGCGAGTTTAGAGTACGCTCTTCTCAAAGAAAACACCTGCGAGTGCGCAAGCTTAGTATAGGACAGTTGTTAACATAAGAAGCCACCGAAATACAAGGTAACTTTGATTTCTGATCAAAGTTGTAAGCATTTTGATTGACAAAATTATTTAGAAACATATACTGCATGCAAAAGGGCATTTTCTGTAATAGACTGGAGAAAAATGTGCAGTATTTTTGCCTCACTCATATGCTCGACGACCAACTTACACGATTCCGTATGCCAGGTTCTGAAGGTCTGAGATTGTTGTATGGTTGGGTGTCAAGTGAAAATAAGCTAATGCTAGCCCCTGATCTTTTCCTTATCTTCGTTTTTAGCTAATCCTAACTCCCGACTCCTTTGTCATTTTTATTCAAGAATCCTGACTGATATTAAACCAAGGCACAATGTTAACCTATTCAGTAGAAATTTAGAAAATAATACTAGTGAGGAAAGCTGACAAGGGAAAGACTAGAGGTAGCCAACTCGGAATGGCACAAAATGGGGAACTGAAAAATTCAGAGTTGACAGCAGATTAAATGAGCAGGTGGTTGCTGTTCACGAGTTTTTCATTTGATTTAAAGTAGATCCTAAGGCAGACTAAGGGGAAGGAAAACGTACACGATCAGAAAATCTGCTCTCTAAGATTGAGTCTGGAAGGCGGTCCGTCTAGACCGTATGAAGTTCTTTTGAGAAGGTTTTTCAAGAATACTTTAGAAATCGCCTTCCAGCCTACAAGTGTCCGAAGATAAAGTACGCGTGACAGCACTTTCTGGCGTTCATGTTGCCATCCATAAGCACCAATATTTTGAGTTCGTTCAGTTTTTTTGATGTCGTGAAAGAGTCGGGGGTAGACTTGTAGGGGCTAAGTAGTGGTTGTGCTCATTGCACTACAATCATCAGACCAAATCCCAGGGTGTAGGTAAAAGACAGCAGGCACCAGAAAGAGGGCCTTCTTGCGCAAAACCCCGAGTTGCTGTCCCAGGCAGCAGTGACCACTAGCGAAGCCAGGGCTACTGTTGACTGCTTCAAGGCAGGTCTGAGAGAGTGTAAGACAGCCGTGACAGCTGACTTATATGATTTTGAAGCAAGTTCAAGTGGTGTGCGATTGCTGTGTTGCATTGCCCGAGGGGGTGTCGCGTATAGAGGCCCATTATGTATTCACCGAGGGGTGATGTGTTCAAATGGCCTTGAGGCAGCCGCAACTATTTGGATGCGCATGTGTGCCCGTGTGCAAGTCACCATATTTTAATGCGTTCTGTCAACTGTCCCTACATATTTCAGTTTCGGTGAAGAAGCCACTAATCTGTTTCTCCATCATTGTGACCTCAAACTGCTGCCTATTCGCATAAATTTAACTGCGTACCTAATACAGAATTATATTAACTGCGCCCTAAAACTCCTTCTTTGAAAACTCGTTTAGGTTATCCAGCTAATGAGGCTGAACCTCGTATACACGAGGTCCTCGAGATCTCTCCTTAGATATGCGCCAGAAATATCCACCCTCATTTCCTTTCAGGTACTCTTCCTGTTTCTTGGAGGAGGAGGA